AGCGAGAGTTTTATATAAAGGTAAGTGTACATTAAACATCCTAACCCAGTCCAGTCCAACCCCATAAGTCTGATCTACAAAGTCCTGGGTGCTAGGCTGCATCAGGGTAGGTCCATGTGGCTTCTCCTCAGGGATTTCCCGCAGGAAGTGAGCCTTGCCAGCTGAGCCACACACTAGTTCAACCATCAGAGAGCAAGAGACCTGAGAACCAGAAAGGCAAGGCTCACTGCGAGCCATTTATCTCTCTGTCCTTCAATTAATCTCACACGTGTTTATCGGCCAGGTTGGCACAATAAACCTTAACTATAATACTAATCCAATCCAATTTAGTCCAGTCCAGCCCAACCCAACACAGTCCAATCTAGTACAGTCCCTGTCCAGTCCAGTTTAATCCAACCCAAGCCAATCCAATTCAGTCCAGCCCAATCCAACCCAACCCACCAACTCAGTCCAGTCCACTCCGCCCAACCCAATCTAACCAAATTCAATCTAATCCAGTCCAATTCAACTCAGCCCAATCCAACCAACCCAATCCAGTCCTATCCAGACCAGTCCAGCCCAATCCAATCCAGTCCAGCCCAATCCAATCCAATCCAATCGAACCCAGTCCAGCCCAACCAAATCCAACCCAATCCAGTCCAGCCCAACCCAATCCAGTCCAATCCAGTTCAATCCAATCCAACTCAATCCAATCCACCCAGTCTGTTCTCACCCAGTCCAATCCAATCAAATTTAGTCCAGCTCAATCCATCCCACCCCAACCCAATCTAGTAAAGTCCAAACCAATCCAACCCAACCTGTCCTAATCCCATCCAGTCCAGTCAAATCCAATTTAGTCCAGTCCAGTCCAATCCAGCCCAATCCAACCCAACCCACTACAGTCCAGTCGAGTCGAATCCAACCCAAACGAACCCAACCGAATCCAGTCCAGTCCACTCCACTCCAGTTCAGTCCAGTCCAAACCAAACCAACCCAGTCCTGTCCAGTGCAGTCCACTCCAACCCAACCCAACCCAATCCAAACCACCTCCAACAGGCAAATCCAGTCTAGTCCAACCCAATCCAGTCAAGTCCAGTCTAGTCTAGTCCAATTCAATCCAGCCCAGTCCAACCCAACCCAGTTCAGTCTAGTCCAATTCAGTCCAGTCAAACCAACCCTGTCCAGTGCAGTCTAATCCAACCGAACTGAACCAAACCAAACCCATTCCAGTCCGGTCCAGTCCAGTCCAGTTGAATCCAATCCAATCCAGTAAAGTCTAGTCTAATCCAATTCAACTCAATCCAATCCAACCCAACCCATCCAATCCAATTCAGCCAGTCCAGTCCAATCCAACCCAACCCAATCCAGCGTAGTCCTGTCCAGCCCAGTCCAGTCTAATACAATCCAACCCATCTAACCCAATCCAATCCAATCCAGCCCCATCCAGTCCAGTTCAGTCCAACCCAACCAATACAAGCCAACCCAATTCAGTCCAGTCCAATCCAACCCAACCCAACCCAGTCCATTCCATTATAGTACTATTTAATCCAGTCCTACCCTATCCAACCCAACCCAACCCAACCCAGTCCATTCCATTATAGTACTATTTAATCCAGTCCTACCCTATCCAACCCAACCCAGTCTAGTCCAGTCCCATCCCTGTGCAGTCCAATCCTATCCAATCCAATTCAATCTATTCTGTCCAGTCTGATCCAAACCAACTATCCCAATTCAATCCAACCCATTACAATCCAATCCAGCCCAGTCCACTCCACTCCAACCCAATCCAGTCCAATCCAACCCAACCCAACCCAACCCAATCCAACACAGTCCAGTCCAGTCCAATCCAGCCCAATCCAACCCAACCAAGTCCAGTCAAGCCCAATCCAATCCAATCAAATTCAGCCCAGTCAAATACAATCCAAGCCAACCCAGTTTAATTCATTCCAGGCCACTCCATTCCATTCCAGTCCAGTCCAGTCCAGTCCGATTAAACTCAATCCAGTCCACTCCAGTGCAGTCCAATTCAATCCAACCCAACCAAATTCAACCCAATCTAATCCAGCCCAACACAATCTAGTTATGTCACAACTATGTCAAGTCCAGTCCAGTCCACTCCAGTCCAATCCAACCCAAGCCAACCCAATCCATTCTGACCCAACCCTGTCCAGTCCACTTCAGTCCAATCCAACCCAACCCAACCCAACCCAATCCAATCAGTCCTATCTTGGAATCTTCGTTTTGATTGCTGTACTGTGGTTAGGTGGTAGTCCTGGTGGTACCAACGGGTTGCACACTTGGCTGCTGATTGAAAGGGTGGAGGTACCACAGGAGAAAGCCCTGATGATCTATTTATGAAAAACCAACCACTGAGAACCTGATGGAGCCGGTCCTCCTGAGACCCAAACCTGGGGCTGCCACGGGCTGGGGTCGGTTCAGTGGCAGCTGGTTTGCAGGCTGTGGTCATGCAGGGGTGAGGCTGTCTGAAGTGGCGAGAGCCAGGGCCACCAAGTGTGCAGCGCTCTCAAAGAGAGCAAAGAGGATTTTGGCCGGGGTTGGATTGGGTACACGTGAGCCTAGAAACAAGTGTAAGTCTACAAAGGACTGTGCTTCTCTCAGTAACTGTGGCGCAGTGGGTGAGGCGGTGGTCTGCCGACTGCCTTCCAAACCACCAGCTGTTTTGAGGGAGGCTTTCTGCTCCCACACAGTTACAGCTTTGGAAGCCCACAGAGGCCCCTGTTCTGCTCTGTCCTACGGGGTCGCTATGAATGGGTGTAGACTGGATGGCAATGATTGAGTGGGTGAGCCCATCACACTGCCTGTGTGGGTGGGAGTAGAACTGCCCTATGGGGCTTCCTAGGATGTCATATTGGCAGGAGCAGATAGTTAGGTCTTGGCAGCTTTTTCTCCTGCAGGGCCCACTGGTGGGTTTGAACCTCCAACCTGTCAGATAGCAGCCTAGTGCTTAAGCATTGCACCCTAGGCTCCTTGGGAATATGAGTGACTGTTTGTGAAGGTCAGGCTTCCCCCACTCCCACACTGCCTGCAGAAAGGCTGGGGTGGGGGGAACACCCCCTACCCGACCCCAACAGAGTTCCTTTGACTTGGCTTTGGGGTCACTTGGGGTCACTTCAAAAACTACCAGTGGACACCTGAGTCCAAATCCCAGAAGGAGGCTGATGGAAAGTTCTGGAAGGGCGGCCTGGGCGGTGGGTTTTTAGAAACTTTCAGCCCACCCTGCTTTGCTTCTTCAGACTATTGCGCCTCCTCGTGGGCCATGCAGCTAGCCCCTGGGGCTAGTCCCAGGGGCCTGGGGCAGAGGGCTGATGAAGGGGCTGGAGGCTTGGGGGACCTCTGGGATCTCGGAGAAGGCTGGAGCCCCCTTGCTTCCCCTTGGGGCAGTGGGGGGCCACGTGGGGACCAGTGAAGAGGAGAGAAGGGAGGGGAGCGAGGAGGAGGTGCTTGAGGAGGGAGGGAACTCCACTCTGAGATGGAGGGCCCCTGAGCAGCCTGCTCCTTGGTGAGGGCACAGGCTGGCTTCTGGGCTGAGGGAGGCCCCTCTCCTGGCCCTGCTGCAGCCCCGCTGAAATATTTGGAATAATTAGCAAGTGAAAGCAGCCAGTTAGCAGAGAGAATGCCAGCTTGGGCCAGCGCCTGTGGAGTGCAGAACTTGGAAGGGATGAGTGGAGGTGGAGCAGGACCTTGTGGGACTGTGTGTGTGTGTGTGTGTGCCCACGCTGTGTACCACCCAGGGTGTGTATGTATGTGTTGGGTGGGGGGCACCCAGGATAAGAGTGCTGGGTGGGGAGGTGGAGTTCAGGTTAAACTGATGTGAGGGACTTGCCAGGTGGGGACTTCTTTTCCCACTAGCATGCCAACGGGCTAGCCTCCCAGGGTGGGCCTTCCAGACTGAGGGAGTGGGGTAGGTAAGGTCTCAGCCATCCTCCTGGCTGCCTGGCCTTGCCCCTCCCAGCCTGCTCCCGATAGGTGCACACCCCACCTTGGGTGGTTGGTGGGGGCTGGAGGGGCCTGGGGAGGCAGGCGCTGGAGGCAGGCCCAGGCCAGGGCACAGGACTTCAGCAGGCGAGCCTGGGCAGGCCCTCGAGGTGGGGGATGCCCGGACACACTCGGGCCTTTGTGAGACCCAGGGGGGCCAGGAGGGGGGAGCTATGCCTCCTAACCTGGGCTGTGGGCACTGCTGTCCCCATTGCCAAGATGCAGGTGCTGAGCCCTGGCCTCAGGGGATGCCCCGCCCCTGAGGTACCCTCTCCCTCACGTTCTCTCTGGGGGGAGAAACAGGTTGTGGCCGGTTCTTCAGGGGCTCTTCCACTGCCAACCCCCCCCCCAACTTCCTCCCAGCTGTGCCCTCCTGGGACAGTTTCCCTCCCCCCAACTCTTCCCTTTACTGCCCTCCCCCCACAAAAAGCCCAGAGCAGGCTCATTTTCAGATTATTAAAAATTTTATTTTTAATTTTTTTATTGTAAATAACTTTTCATGAAAAAGGTTAAATTGCCCTCGCAGGGTGGGAGTGTGGGTGCAGGACACAGCTGGGGGCGCCCTATGGGGAAGGCACCCCTCCACTCCTTCCCCTGGGGTCAGTGAGTTGGGTATCCCTCTCGAAGTCTGAGCTATGGCTAGGTGCTCTACATTAGTCTGTCCCTTCCTCGGCGTGGCTGCCTGTCCGAGCCCTGCGGAAGCCCCCAGCGTCCTACTGCTATTGCTGAGTCTCAGCCCCAAGTGGGGTGCAAAGATTAGAGCTTACAAACTTGGTCTGACCCCTAAGGATGGGCCAAGTGAAGACCCCAGGGGACTCCTGGTCCCCCCCTGCCTGCCCAGGCATTTGTCTCCTCTGCCTGCCCAGCCCCCACGCCTGTCCTCTGCCCACCTCCCCACCCACGGCCCCCCTCCCCTACCCCAGGGAAACTTTTGCTGGGAGAGGCCTCCAGGGGGTTAATTTGCTGTCACCTAATTAGCATCTGGTGTACCTGGGAACTTTCTCTAGATAGAGACCTGGGGGGGGGGCATCGAGGAGGGGGTTCTCTGGGGAAGGTGGCCCAGTGCTGTTCTTCCCGGCTGGCCACCCCTCCACCCCCTATCACCTTCGTTTGCTCGGGCAGCGGGCAGCACAGGGTCCTGTGGCCAGTCCCTGAGGGGAGGGACGAAACACTGTATGTGGGGGGCTGGGAGCCTCCTGTTCTCAGCCTCCTGGCTTGAATTTGATGGTGAGGCCTCTTGGGGCCTGCCTCAGGAGACCTGGCACAGCCCCTGCCTGCATGGAGGGGTGTCCAAGGGTCTGTGTTGGGGGGGGCAGTTCTGGGCCCTGGTGGGCACTGTCCGGAGGTGGACGGAGCCTGGCCTCTTACAAGAAGGCACCGACGCTGGTCCAGTCCTGCAGCTCAGTGGCCAGGCTGGCTTCCCCGGCCTCAAAGAGGGGCTCGGGGGGCAGGCAGCCACTGCCGCCCTCGTCCCAGGGGTGCTGCAGGAAGGAGGCGGCCAGGAAGGTCTCATCAAAGTCCAGGCTGTCGGCAGCCTGCTCCACTAGGGGTCCCCAGGTGGTGGGGCAGTCGATGTGGTGGCCGTGGACGGTGAGGTCCACGTCGCCGTGGGAGGCGGGGCTCAGCGGCGGGCTCAGCTCCAGGCCGTCCAGTGAGCCCAGCTCCCCGCCCAGCGGGCCTGCGTCGAAGATGGCCTCCCAGTCAAAGTTACCTTTGAGAGGCTCCAGCTCGCCCTGCTCCTCCTGGCTCAGCAGTGGGGTGCTGGGCGCCCGGGGGACCTTGGCCACCCGCTTGGGCAGTGGTTGCTTGCGCTTGTGCCCAGGCCTGCTGTCGCCCCCCGCCCAGCCCACCTCCCCAGTGGCCTCCTCAAACTCTTGAAGCAGCTGCTGGGCCTCACTGCTGACGGTCAG